TGTAGCTATATGTATTTGATTGCTTGAGAGCATGCTGCAAACTATACGCAATTAAGAAAACAACCGAATCAGGACTGCTCCAGAGCCAAAAAAATAAAAAAATAAGAGAAGTACGAAATTGCCCCATGTGAACGGAGCCTAGACTAAGAGCACAAGAGAAGAAGTGATTTAAAGTTACTTCTTTGTTAAGAGGTAGATTGTTGAATTGTGGGCCTTAAATTGAAGCATTTTCAGTAATTCAATTATGTAAAAACCTCATTTCTCATCTGTCAAGTAGTGACATCTCAGATTCTGTCAGATTTTGTCAGCCATGTCCTTCTTATAAGTAACATAATGGTAGACTTTGCCTCCTGAAAGCAAATTAAACTTTTTTCTTAAATGAATTATCTTTCCCAATTTGAAAATACCCTAAATTATAAGAAATCAGAGTTTTTATTGTATATTTTTTATTCAGAAATATAGCCAAAAAAATTTAGACATCCACTCTTTACTACAAGTGGGGTGAAATAAGAAGAATAACCATGCTAAATCAAACCACATGATTTTTATACATGAGGACTTAATTACAGTTGGTCTGTATATATCTGTTTAAGGTTAAATCTACTGTTGTCACCATGATAAACACAAAGGCCCAGTTCACAATTTTGCATTGTTAAAGGGATAATAACTCTTCATATGAAATCTGTATTTCACCATAAAAACATTGTGAATGACTCATAAAAATATAATATATTCTGTTTTCCCACAAAAACGGCTGTTATAGCTATTATTCTGATATCTGAGCTTGTCTTTAGACCACGTGACCTCCATTGATAGCTATACTCTGTTAAAATCTCTTAAGAGATTTTAACAAAAAACCAAACTTTTTAGAAAAAAACCAGGGACTAACTTTCAATGTAAAAATGGATTCATTAACCACTGGTAAGTATGGGAAAATTGTTGTTTACTCCAGGAAAATTCATTTTTTGGCCGAAACGAAGAGTTATTATCACTTTAAATGGATATTTTTTTCTGACATAGTAACACCCATCTTGGCAGTATGTACACTGCAAGTGTTTCTCTCTCTCTCTCTCTCTCTCTCTCTCTCTCTCTCTCTCTCTCCTGCACGCACGCACACACACACACACACACACACACACACACAAGAGGCAAATGGAGGCCGTCTTTTGGGTCTTCCAGAAGATGGTCAGATTTTCAAGTTTACATTGACAGGCATCTAATTTCTTCTGTAGGCAGTCAAAAATGGACGATGGATCAACACACACACACACACACACACACACACACACACACACACACACACACACACACACACACACACACACACACACCGAACACACATATATTCACCCCCTTTCCATGTACCAAACACAATCAGCTTTAACCTCTCTCAAAAAATCTGCTTTTTCAACAACGACTTCTGTCCTTTCTTCCAGATACATAAATAATACCATGTCATTGAAATGACACAAACTTTATCAAACATTCCTCGAATCTAGGGGCAATATTTATCCTGGTCCGCGTGTTGAATGCACTGAAAAAGAGGTCTGTGTTTGGGAGCTGAAAAACATGCTCAGTTAAATGTCAGACCACACAAGCTGAGCATTTTATCATTTCTTGATTTTCAATTAGTATTACTGGTACATTTTTGTTATAAAATAGTGTATTGCAACAAAAGAGTAACTAAACCTCTACCTTTGTGCCAAATTAAACTCCACTGCAAAGTAGGTTTCAGCTTGTTGTTGTAATAAAAAGGCACACATGAATGAATTAAGTCCCCCCCCCCAAAAAAAAAAAAAATCAGTTCTTCCATTAACTTTGATTAATGTGAACAAATAAAGGTAGTTATCTGACCAAAAAATAAGAAGCTTTTACCAAAATTAATCCAATTATCACAAAATATCCTTTTGGCCATAAACAAGGATCAGGATGGCCTTTTTTTCCGATAACAGGGAACATTTTTCTCCAACAAGAACACAATTGTTCATAATGTTGGGACATATGTTTTTTGTTACTGCTCATTTAATTTCAATAGAGGGCCATTTGTTTGCCCACCGCAGAGTAAAAGTACTAATCAGAACATTTAATGTTTTGGTTGTCTCAATAATTTGACCACAAATGGTCAAATTGTCCATGTCGCGGTAGTTTCATGTACTTTACACTTGCACTTTAAAAAAGTTATAATTTATGTTTTACATACAGATATAAAATATAGTGTCCCATTATTAACTTTCTATTGTTCTTTTGTATTCAGTCTTTTTAAGGCATTCTTTGGCAAAAGCATATTTTTCCATATGATAAGTTTTTTCAAATATATTAAATAACGTGCAATTATGTATGTAGATGATGAGAGGCCTACAGCTGATTCTCCTTGACCAGAAAAACAGGCAGTACATGCTAACTGTAAGATCAAATATCTTACTTCCTCATCATCATATCAGCCAACATTTTTTAAACAAAGATCTTAAAAGCTGTAAATTGCAAACACACTTTCTCTCTTCCCCTCTCTTCTTCTATATATCTCTTCCTTTTTCTCTTTCAAATATGGTAATACTTGTTCATGTGCATGTACACACACACACACAGAGAGAGAGAGAGAGAGAGAGAGAGAGAGAGAGAGAGAGAGAGAGAGAGAGAATGCATGCACATACATTCTCTTCCTCTCTCTCTCTCTCTCTCTCTCTTTTTNCAAGGGTGAAAAGATTTCATTGGTGCAAAAGATTATTGTTCAGTTTGTTGAATGAAATGATTAGAATCACAATTTGTCTTTACGCCAGTGAAGTTACTTGTAGCTCAAGTAATTAAGATGATATTATGGTCAGATGGGTCTTATAGCTATTTTAAACTTCTAAATATTTTACATGATTCTGAGGATACATGAACAACACTACAGTTGAATGGGTCTTCCACTCCAGAGGAAACGGATAAGTTTTATGAATGTTGCAAAAATATTGATACAATGCTTGGTAGTCAACTGTGGTGGCTAATATGTGTCATATGCTGGAACAGTACATGGGTCCACGTATTGTGATGAATAAGAAACAACATGCTTTCTGTGCTGAGTATGAGTTTATAATATTCAGTAAGATTTTGTAGTGTATATTTTGTTATTATATACCACTTGCTAATCATGTTAGAAAAGTATTCTACAGATTTTGTGTAAGTTGATAAAGACAGTGAAAGTGGCCAGTTTCTTATAATTAATGCTCAGCAGAACAGATCATTTTTTTCCACATTTCACTATGAACAGGCCTTCTAGCTAGATGTCTAGATGTTGACTTCATATGTTTACTGAAATGCTCGCTTTCCAGCATTCATTAGTGCAAAAAGCCTATTGATGTCCTAAAAGTACATTGTTTTGAGCACCTGCTAAAACTCCCTATACGCTAGACGGCGTCATTTCTGCTTTCTTTGTGCGACAATGAAAATGGCACCGCTGTAGTCGTAGAAAGTAGGTACAAACAATGCTTTGGTTGCAGAATGAATGCTCAATGAGCGGCCATATGTCGGCACGTGATGTATTATTTTTTTCTACTCTCAAACTGGGCCGTTCTACGAGACACAGAAAGGAAGCCGCCCAGTGTAAAGGGGGCTTGACTTCAGTAGGTACATCAGGCTGAAATTGAAATGTAATTGGCAATTATATACAATACTTGACTTGAGGATTTTAAATAGAATTGGAGTCTTTCCTATTCCACAAGTTGGTATTTCAAGTGTCTGTCTTTCAACAGAAGTATTTCTTCAATATATCAGAAATTATTGCCAATGGAGATTTTAATTTGATACAATTTTGTCAGATTTTCTCCTGTCTTCTTTAAGACCATTTTATAATGTAGATGATGTTAAGCATTCCTTTTAGAGATTTTAATCAGTTTTTCTAATATACTTAGCCAATTGCTGTATACTCTGTACAAGTTATCTTTCTAGTTTTTAATAAGTTGAAACTGTTTGCAGTTAAACATGGTATGGCTTTATTACTCTCAATGTTTTTTTGTTTGTTTGTTAGCTAGCACTGTTATATTTGATAATACCGGTGTAGCCTACAACCTATTTTGTAAATAAAATTGATCAAGTAATAAGAATCACTGATCTTTTTACCTTGAAGCACTTCCAGAACTCTTGGCATCCAAGATAATCATTAATCATGCAGATGTACATTCAAAAATATTGATCTACCAGTTGCTAAAATTTGTGATTAAGAGCATGCTTTGATAAATATATAATCCATGTCTAAGTAATTTCTTTAAAATCTGAGCAAGAAGGACTAAATATGTTCTTTTTACCTGTACTCTGGAATTTTATTTGGTTTTCCCCAAAATCATAAGTTTAAAACCACACAGAAAATAATACTGAACCCCCCCCCCCCCCCCAAAAAAAAAAATCCTAGAATGTTTCATTCTTAAAGGTATTTCAAGAATCTTATATTACCTATCCAGCAACTTCTTTATCTATCAGTATTGTAATAGGGGTCATGTCGAAACTCCCCCGCACTGATAATCCCGCTTAGTAATTTTTTGTATTATGCGCATCAATACGACCCCACACCGGTACATCCCAGCACCGATACTCCTCCTCATTATATCTGTAATTGTGGGGGAGTATCTGTGCGGGGACTTCCCGACATGTAACCTTCAAATTGCAGTAATAAGAATTTTCTAACTATCAGCAGATTTTCGACTTTTTGGGAGCCAAAAACATTATTTTTGAGATCGATGCAGGGGGCGCCCTGGACTTGTGCAATTTTTTCAGACTTTTTCACTCATGGAAGTTTCATCTCTGAAATTGAGATGGATTGGTCTGTGCAAAGACTGCTAGGATTCTGAACATGTAATCTTTATCAAATTGCGACTCACAAAGGCTCTTTGAGGCTGTAAAAATCAAAGAGGAGTTGGGTTAAATTCTGACCAAATTCTGATCACAGTGCTGGTTTCATAACAGTTTGATCAACAAAGCATTGCTTACTAATTCAAGCGAGAAAAATGAACATGTAAGAGAAAATGAGCACTTTCAAAAATTTTTATTTGTTTGGTTTGTGTATCACAGAGAAATGAGACAATTTGCCATTTCTAAGCTGTACTGAAAATGTAACCAAATGCAGCTAGCATACATGTACTGCTCATATAAAATACTTAGGAACATATTGCCAGTAAATATTACTAATTTTGTATTAATAAGCCTAAGTACATAACTACACAGAGACTGATTACACTGTGATACAAACATCAGTTTATACATGTATCTGAACTTGATGCATTGCAAGCATATGGTATGTGCCACTTTCCCTAATGCTTAAACATATTATTTTTATTATAATTGTAAAAATACTTTGTTGCATTAATAAATACATATATTATATGCAGTGGCTGACAAATATACATAAAATTAAGCTTCAGCTACTACATACACATGAGTCCTCAAATAAAATGTATTTCATTATGTTCACTGTCCTCAAATAAAATGTATTTCATTATGTTCACTAAGTAAAACTAATGGATACAATGTATTTGACATTTTCCTGTTAAAAGTTTACAAAAAGCTACCATTTTTTAAAAGAAATTTTTACTGAAACAGTTAAAAAGTATTTGGTTGTTGTTTTATCATGAATAATACATTGTAATAAGTGCACATTTCTTATAAATAAACATCAGCACAGTAACAAACATTCATTATCAGAACTTTTAGTGTATGTCTGAGGCATCAGACAATTTTTTGCCAGATTTTTGTAGCAATGTTGTTTAATAAATTTCATAGATATTAACTTTGATAAAGAGGTATATTGTAATTTCATAACTGTGTTTTTCACTAAATTAATCAAGATGTGCATGCATTTAAATATGTCAGCTCTCTGTTGACAGCTGATTGTGACAACTGACTTTGGCTGCAAACATACAAAATGCTTACCAATGACAGCAAACATTGCACAGTTCCCATTCACTAACACATTTACTATATAAACTAACTGCAATCAGCACGTTTAACTTAGACAGGAAATAGTCTACTGGTGTTTCCAGTGGTTTCAAACTTTCTAAATGTGTACATTCTTGGCATGCTAACATAGGACTATTTCAGAGTTAAGTAAGACCTGTTTTGAATGTGACTATATATATATAAAAAATTACCCCCCCCCCAATTAAAACAAAACATTACCATGACTATCATAGTGGTGATGATGATGATGTTGAAGATGGGTGGTTCTTCTTTTGTGAAGATCAAGCAAAACAATCAGACATATTTAAAAAGAACACCATTTTCATTCACAGTACTTTGATCATTCGAAACATCACCTTTATCTCCTTGCTGAGTCACAATATCAGTACACTGACTCTCATCACCACTTCCAACTGTACATTTCTCCCTGTTTGAATTTGCATCAGTGTCATTTGCATTCATTTCCTCTGATTTTTCTTGTCCCTTTGGTATTTCTGGCATTCTCCAACTTTCTTCCCTGTCAACATCACTGGTAACAACTAGTAGTAGTTCTTTATCTTTACTCTCCATCTGTTCCTTCAGGTAAGTCTGTAAATCCAGCGAGGTTCCAATAACCTCTGGGGCATCAAGCTTGGAATCCAAATTGTAATATACCTCACCAATTTTTCTCATACTAATCCAGTGTTTTCTGTGGATGGGGAGTCTGAGAAATCCCCATTTGTAGTCTGTTGGGATGTTCAGAATAAACCCTAATATTTTGTCAAAGTTTAGGCTGCCTATATCTCTGGAATTACAAACAAATAAGGTTATTCTTTGCATTCGGTTACACTCTCTTCTTTTTTTTATATTATGACCTACCAAATTATATATTTTGCTCAGGTAGTTTGTTCAACCAGGGAGTTACATGCACATACACCTGTACACCTGGTTAACATGGAAAAATGACATACTGTCAGACAAAATGCCAACCTTTGCACCCCGGCATTAGGTTATTCATAACCCACAAAACAGATGTGTAAATAGCAAATGCAGGTTATCCAATACAGCACCTGGACTGAATATATAGACATTACAATCTAAAATCATTTAGGAATGCAGGCTATATTTTACATCAAAGCAGACAAAATACCATTTCTTTTTTACTGAAATATTAGCTTTAGCACACACACAAAAAAAGTAACATGACCACAGCACTCAGTCTGCAGCATCACTTACTTCCTCTTATCAAACCATATGGTTTCACAGTTCTTGGTTTGTATAGCTGCCATGATTACATTTACATCATAGTTGCCAAAGCCAAGCACACTCTTGTGAGGATTCAAGAAATACCCTGGGGAGAGCCTGCAAAGAGAAAACACAAACACGAATAGATTATATGAATAAAAGTGGCATATTTGACATCAAATAAAATATGAAATCCAGGTTATGGCTGAAATTCACTATGGAGTGAATGGATTGCAAAACAAATTGCTAAATATCTATATAGATACCACATTGAATATACACATGAATGAACAATATTAAATAATGGGTGAATGAAAACAAACGATGATAATCTGTGAAAGAGAAAAAGAATAATATTCTACCGGTAGTTAAAATGATCAATATAAAACTTAGAAGCCCCATGACATCTGGCTTGCTACAAATGCTGTATTTACAGTTAATGAAAAGATTGCATGTTTTCAGGAACAGAAATCATACTTCAGTATACCACAAGAGACTACAGTAAAGTTCGAGAAACACTAAAAAATAATGACATAATTTAATGTGTTTGTGCATTTAAGTATGTCTTCTTACAAGAGAGGCATCTTCTCCTTGCATTACAAAATTTCTAATACTGAGAACTTAATTTTAATTTTTTTACACAATAGTATTGTAAATTTAATTTACTTCTAAAGACTAAATACCAGTAAAATTAAATTTTCATTTTACAATCAAGTGTATATAACCAGGGATACTGGGACCAGTGCTTCTTTTAAAACATTTTATAACATCAAAGCTAACAATAAAAAATAGTGAAAAAACAGCATAAATTCCCTCAAAATAGCCCAATCATGCTGATTTTCGAACTTGACCTGCG